AGGATGAAGATACCCAGGTTCTCTCTGGGCACCTGATTGATCAGATTTTAGTGGACACTTACTGAATGACTTTTGGCTTTTGAAACCAAGCAGTTGAGTCTGCATTGGATCTTTGTGTTCACAGGTTTCATATTGTTACAAGATAGATACCATTCTCCATCAGATTTTTTTATAACTCCCTGTTTAGCTCTGTGTCTTGATGAACGATTAAAAAACCCTTGTATTTTGCCAAATAATTTGCTATAAAGAAAGATATGTCCAACAAGTTATGCAATTACCATTATTAATCAGCTTGTGTCTTTACAAGATCAAGGGAATCTTATTTTACACTGGAATTTTTAGCTGATGAGCTGGATTCATGCAGTTTCTCTCCCTCCTCTTTAGAGAGGGATGGAGGGGAGTTAATTCCGCTAATGCTTCAAGAGACCAAATTTCCCCTGTTTATTAATTAATAATATCCATCTGGATTATGTCAAATGATTCCCCCTGCATTTCCATGGATTTTTATCCAAAGAAAAACCATTTTGAGCTCTGTTGTATCCATTTTGAAATCTTTGGAAGCTCGGCTGTTCTTTCCTTGTTTCTAGCACCTACTAGTTATAGGACATCAGGAATGCAAGCAGAGGACAGATGATGGGAGGAGGCTGTGTTTGTGAAATCTTCTTTTGATGTGTGGGAACAAACCAAAATAGGGTTCTTCAAAGCCACTCCAAGCCAAAAAAAGTCCTCTGACACTGAACATCTCAAGAAGATGAAAACCTTCCTCCCGTTTCCATTGTCCCTGGCCCGAGCTTTTGATCTGACGCAAGAAATGTGGTATGTGTCTGAAGTTCAGAAAGTTTATGCTGGCAAATAGAAAAGGGGGAGGTGGGTTGAGTAAGCTGGGACTGAGCTTCAGGCACATAACACTAATGTCCCTGCTGAGGGCCCTAGGCGTGAGCAGGCCCCGCAGCGGAGAGCCAGGCTCCGAGCCACGGGAGACGAGCAAGCGCCAGATCCCGTGCCGAGGTGAGCCCGACGGCTCCGCGGGACGCGAGAGGGCCGGGGCTGAGTTTTGCAGGCAATAACCTCTGCCGCCCGGCGCTGGCCTGCGAGCTCCTTGGCCAGTGCAGTGCATCATCCCTCCTGCATTCCCTTCGTGTTCACACGCCGTCTCCTGCGGCGGGCCCGTCTCCCGCTGCGGTGTTGGCAGGACACGCGGCCCCATTTCAGTTCTTTCCAGCTTTCTGACCCAGTTCAGCTGCGTCTGAGAGGTGGGGTCTGGAAACCAGAGACAAGCCCTCATGCCGGTGGGACCTCTGTTGCCAGAGGCTCCAGATCAGCGTGTCCATTTAGGCTCAGATTTGACTTTTTGTTTCCATACGTGCAAAAAGACAAAAGCCCGAGTGTTTTGCTGAGCTGAGGCCATCCTTAACCTTGTGCAATGCAGCACAAACTGGGGAGGAAGGGCCTTCGTGTCCTCTGCAGGGATCTGCCCTCCTGACACCACAGGCACCAACCACAAGCGCTGCCCTTCAGCCAGTTCTTTGTCGTGGCTATGGTTAGTTGGGTGACTAATGTTTACCCACGGTATCAAGGCATACTTCGTTTATATGGTGGCATTAGGATGTTTTCTGCCTCCATTCTTCATGGAGGCATAACTTGGATCGCAAGTGGTAATAGCAAGAGAGGTGGGCACTGCTTGCAATGAGGATTTCCAATCTAAACCACACGTTCTTCTTCACTTGGTGTTACCCCTCTCTCTACCTCTACCTTATTGACTAGAAAATACCAAGACTTTAATACTTAGACTTTAATACATTGCACATTTTGCTAATTTGCTTGCTGGCTGTGAGCCTCTATGGTATCATTTTCCAGCAGTTTACTCAGAGGGCTAGAAGCTTTCTTTTTTTGTTTAATGAAAGTGGGAATTCTCCTCAAGTCCCTTGACTACGGCAATGGCAGCCTTAAGAAAAACAGAACGTGACAGAAAATAGATGAATGGCTCCAGTGCTATTGCAATAATGCGTAAGGACCCCGTTTGTGCTATGTGCTGTGCTAGTTTATGAGAGGACACTCCTTGTTGAAAGAACTGTATATAGTTTGAGATTTTGACTGTGACTAAATCCCTTGTGCTTTTCCTTCTTTAGTTTGGCTCTGTGGATCTCACGGATGTGAGAGCTCTCTTCTTTCCACTTTATTTCTTTTGGGCACTTCTTCAGTCCTAATCATAAAAACTAGAATTTCTCAGCAATTTCGAGTCTGGAGACTTCCTGACCTCTATCATTTTGTGCCCAGGAAAAATAAACTTGTTACTATGGTTTGAGCCTTAATGACTGCTAAGTATATATAGTCAATTTATAAAAGAGCATACTGGATTATTCTGTGCATGCCTTAAAATCTTTTACAGCATTTATCAGCAGAGTGCTCATTTAAAACATGTTGTTTTAATGAAAAGGATACCATTGCCACTGTTTTGTGTTGATTATGTGGTAACACATTTTTATTATCACCCATAAAAATGATTTGGAGCTGTTCCACTCCAGATGCAACCTTCAGCAGAGCTGTGCTGGTGCTGCTCGCGCCGCCCGGGAGGGCCCCGGACCCCTGCAGTTTGCTGGGCCCTCACCGTTGCTGCCAGTGATTTAATATCACCTCTTCCCACAGCACCGCTGGGCTGCGGCAAAATACTGTCCAAGAGAGCCCTCGTCGGTCCCTTCCTCACAGCATGGAGCATCCTGACCCTGCCCTGGCTGTAGCCCCTCTGATTTGCCACCTCCAGGATTAGTTTTGCCTCTGTTGCTGAGTATGCTTTGGCAACATCTGTGTGTTTTGCTGGGGAAGCAAGAGGATAATATAATAGTATAAAGTGATTCAGAAAAGGTCATCAACGTACCCTTGAGTCCCATGTCAACGAGAATTAAGCACGATTATGGTAAGGCACATGCTTAAGTGTTTGTTTGAACGGATAGCGTATTTCCTTGAAAGTCTGACAAATAAATCACTGGTTAGAAGCAAAGAAGTTCAAGAGACAGTTTGAACAGATTCCTTCCTTGCCTGGTGTCAGAGAAGCCTGTTGAATAAAAGCATTGTGACCTGATTGCTTTTTGCTTTCTTATTACTCAGAAAGCAAGACTCTGGATCTGTGAATAGAGATCCTTGCAATAAAGGAAGAATTTTGCTTGTTTGCAACAGCTGAGGTTCAGTTCCCTTGCACTTAACCTAGCTCCCAGTTTAATTAGTTTCTGATTCACCCCTGTCAGGCCAGTACATTCTGCAGGAAGTTCATCATTTCTGGCGCTGCTGCAATACTGGCTCTCTCCATGCCTTGTAATAAATAAGTGATAAACCTTGTAATAATTGCAAGTTTAAAACAAACAAGCGGAGCCAAGTCACTCTCATTTATAATTGCAGTGTGACTTCATTATGCAAAGACAACACAGCATGTTAAACCTTCTAGGGATTTAGTGGAAAGTTTGAGCCGTATTCTCTTTTATTTCCCTTATCCCTAAATCAGTATTTGCTTAGGTGGTTTCCAAACAGGAAGAGACAGGGCTGCAACAAAGCACAGTGTCAAACAAATTTCCCGTGGAGCTTTATGCTTAGAAAGCAGACTTTGCTGGAGATGCTGGATGCTCGGATCTGTTGTGGAAAGCTGAGCCCTGCTCCTGCCTGATGGGCATCCTGCGCGTACCCCGGGCAGGCAGCTTTGCCAGGGGTCCACCCAGCTGTGGGGCGAGCGGCAGGGCTGCCGCTGCACCCCAGGCGCGGCTAATGCGGGGGCTGCCAACCCTTTGGCTGCCCCACCTGGCAAGTGGGTGCTGCCCTTGGCCTCTGTAAAGGGGTAAAATACCTCCGACTGGGGTAAAATGCATTTGCAGCAGAACACGTGGGCTTGGCACGCCAGGGCAGTGCTCCCGATGGGTTAGGCTTTTTCAAAAGAAATCTGTAGACTGCTTTGTCATTCCACCCTTGCTTAGTGGCAAGGAAGGAAGGGGGATGAAGCATTCAGATTAAAATAGAAAATGTCTTCTTTTTTAAATCCAAATGTTGTGAACACTTTCATTAACAATGTTGATCATAAACTGTGATGAATGTTCCCCAGGACTTCACTTTAATGGAGTTTGTCGGTGGGCAGAGACCACTTGGGTCCTCCATCTCTCAACTTCTTGTGGGCAGTTAGGTTTTTTGCAGCTATGTTAAAGACCAACTTCCAGTTTCTTTCAGGCCACCAGTGGCTGGGGAGCACAGCCTGATGAACAGCAGTCTAAATCGTCCAGGGGAAACGGGGTCACTTTGCCAAGGAAGTTAGATTGTAACTAGCCCAAATAGCTCAGGGACACACATTGGGATGTGGCTTTATTTGAAGGCAGCGTGTTTACAAGGTATAGAAACAGTTGTGTGTTTTAATAATATCCTAGTACTTCCAAGTAGAGCTCTTTGAGGAAATTGCCTGCCTTTTTATATTTGCTCCAAAATTAAATCAATTCAGCTCTTTAAAAGCTTCATATTCTTCATCATCTTTAATCTGGTCAGCATTTGTGCTTTGATTTGCAACCAGTACCTGTCCAGAGGCACCTCAGTTTGCTACCCTGGGCATCCAGGGTACCAGCTCTCGGCAATTGCTGACCCTACGACTCTGGATTTGAACACGTAAGCTAGCAGTGAAATGCTGTGTCCCCTAGCACCAGCTCTGGTCCCTGGTTTCATGTTTCTTACCAGAGGGACAACCCGTGTGAGGCTGAGTCTCTGGAAGCAGTGAAGCCCTCTCCAAGGAGGGTGCATGTGAGACTCTCCTGCAACATGACACAGCAGCTTCCTACACTAATTACTGCCAACTAATTACTGCCACTTTCCAGAAAACCAATAGAGCTGTAACACCGAAACCCTGCAGTCTGTGATGCAGAATTATTCACAGCTCCTGCTGGCAAGGAGAGGAGTTCCCAGACCTCTCCAGGATTGAGACCGCGCGTGAAACTATCCGACTGACCTCGTTTGCCCTCCCCATGTCCCCTGTCTAGATCCTTCTGCTGGAGGCTGCAGAGCGAAGCCCACCGTTGGAAAACAACCTGCCGATCACTGGGACGACGGCCACGTGGTACGACGATTTGCTACCAGATGCCTTTCCCCTGCTGAATCCCGGGACTGTCCTCAGAAAAACAGTGGGATCTGTTGGTAAGCCTAATCTGCTCTTCACCAAATCACCCGCCCTACCTACAGGATTGCTGCAGGGTAACTAAAAAGGAGGCTGTGTCAGCCTGCTGTGGCTTTGGAAGCTGCAGGGGAGAGGGGTTGGAGGGAAACACTGACAGCTCCTTCCCTCTGCTCAGTGAAGGAGAAGAGGGTTAAGATTTTCAGATGGGCTATTTTCTCTTTTTTTGTGGGCACATTTGCTGCCGTGTGTTTGATGGAGCCGGGAGCCGCATGGTGCCGCGCGATGAGCGCGGGGCGGGCAGCCTCGCTGGCGTGGGCGGCTCCGTGGCTGCGCATTGCTTTGCAGCCTCAGCAGGGACACCATCGCTTTGGTTTTTGCAAGTGCTCGCTGCAAAATGGGATTGTGCTCAGCAGGTAAGCCACCCTGCGGAGAGGCATTTTGAGAGCTTTCAGTCTCTCTTTCAGGGTCAGAATCAGCACTGTTTATCTCCAGAGGCAGGATTCCTCCAAACCAGGGCCTGTTCAGTCTAATGTTGCCTCTTGTCCCTCCCTCTCTGCCAAGCTGTGAACGGAGAGAAGGTTGCACGGCAACTCACATGTGGACTCACAGATATGAGGAAGGAATTCAGTCTTCTCCGATCCCACCTCAAACCATCCTTTTAGCTACAGCAAAGTGGGCATGATCCACTGCCCGTGCAGGGATGAGGGTCACCCCTTCGCAGAGAGGGACTCTCGGCTTTTCTCTCCATGTTTCTGCCCTTCCTTGAGTTAAGCCAGCACAGAGCAGGCATGTTCCTGGAAGAAGTCAGCTAAGCTCAGAAACTAACACGTTAAGCTTGATTTTGCCAGCTTTAATGGCCCATTGCTAGCCTCGATTTCTCTTGGCACAAGCATCTACTGAGAGCTGAGTTCTGGCCTTGGGAAAGTTAGATTTCTGTTAACCTCAGTAGGGTCATTATGCCTGCCTGTATGTTTCAGTGTACATGTTTTAAGTACAGAGTCTGTGGATTTTGAGGCCTGGATAGATTGAAACATTCCTGAAGAAACTCCAGAGAGCCATTGGGATCACAGGGGGACAATTCATACTCACCTACTGAGCGCTGAATGCAGTGTTTCCCTGTCTGGGAGCGGTGCAGGGAGGTAGAGGACCGGGGTGTAGGGATAATTCTTGGTTTTATTAGGAGGAGAAACTTTCCCATGAACAGCAACATCAGTTGCAGTCTGCATTACGTTTTTTAAATTTACCATAAACGCAATGGGCTGTTTTATGATCCCTCTTGTGGCATGAAAAAAAAATACACTTATAAGAAAATCTCCCTCTGAGCCCACTTGGCTAGACAGATCCCTACACATTGAATTTCCTTGACCTTGACATTCTCATTTCAAGATCCCCGCTCTCTGCTTCCAAAGCCGCCTTGTCTGTCAGTTGCTTTGCTTGCTCCCAGAGCAGTTCTTTAGTTCTTTATCCTCTATAGGCCCTACTTCACTTTTTTCCCTTTTTTTTTTTTTTAAAAAAAAAAACAAAAAACAAACCAAACTTTTATTTATTTATTTATTTATTTATTTATTTATTTATTGGTCCAAGCAGTTTATTATGGCAGCCCTTCATGACTGCAGCAGACTTGGAGCAACCAACATAGACCAGATGTCGTCCATGTTTATAATTTGACAGGATGCCACAACATGGAGGGAGGTTCACTAACAATATGTTCTGCAAAGTATTTTCAGAACCACAGTGACGGCTGCCAGGAACTGAATTAAAGCAGCTTCCCCCGGTGTCCATTATGTGCTCATTCTGCCTTCTCCATGTCATTTATTTTTGCTGTCACAGTATCTCTGCACCTGTACTTCATTGTATTAAAGTCAATCCAGCAAAAGTACTGATGACTCTGTCCCTTCCACTCAAAGTCCTCTCCTCTCGGAGGCTCCTCGCACATGATAATCTCCTCCGGCTCAGCAAGGAGCGGCGAATGCCACTCACCCAGGCAGTGATGCAAACCAGAATGGATCTCCTGTAGCATTTGCATCGGGCTGACTCTGTGGTTCAGCATCAGCACCCTCCACCCCTGCAGTAAATCTAGAAGGTAGCTAATGATCACTTCCAAAAACTAGGTGATGTTGGCTGAGCTTTATGTGAGTCTGTCTTGTCAGCCAGGCTTGCGGGCTGTGCTCACAGCTAGCTGCATGCCTTACAGCCCTGCCTGGATGCTACCAGGTGTAGTCCTTGCTCACTGTTACCCTTTATTTTTCAAGCCTAAATTTATTTAACCTAGTGTGGAATTAGAACTCTAGCATAATAACTAGGTATCAGGCATGCACTGGACCATTTCAGGTCAGGACAGTGTCTTTCAGCAATTAGAAGGAATCGGTTAAGTTGCTCATTGACATGTGATTGCCTGCTCAAGCCCCTACCCAAGTCCTGAGGGCTTCAAATACTTGCTTTGCTAAGGAGCTGTGGGGATCTTTCATGGATCTGGGTCCACATTTGGCTTCCTTCCCTGCCCATACCCTATCTACAGTTCAAAACCGGCCAAAAAAACACACTGTGGGGTTGGGGGAAACGTAGGGAATTTTATGCAGTTGGTTTAGGATGGTGGGAGACTGCCCGTTTTTCAGGATTTCAACACCGCACTGTGACTGGTTGCTCAAAGCTGGCCCTGGGTTCGTGTACAGAGATTGCAAACCCCAGGAGGTCTTTCAACAAGTGTGACATTAGAGTAGGTGGAAGTCGAAAACCTGAGTGTCCTGTGTGGTTTGGGGTTGTGGAAAGCTAAGCCTTTGTCCCTCCCATCTGCATCCCCAGAGTTTTTTGTGAAATACTACCCACTTAGCCCTGCTTCTAGTTTTTCAGCCAAAGCAAATCCAAATCCTAGCTTGTGTGCCACCAAGTTTCTCAGCTGGATGGACTGAGGGCAGGATGTTGGTGTCTAACACAAAGATGGTTGATACGGACTTGATGCTTTGAATGGTGGGAGTGTTTCTGGGTGACCTTATAGCTCTGGGCTGGCTGACACCTCTCCAGGCTGAAGTCCAGGAAAACTTGCTACTGTTTATTAGGATAGTTATTTCTTCTGTGAGTGACAGGGCTGAGAATAGACAATCATTTAAAAGCAATCAGAGCTGTTGAGACAGCTGCACTGCTGGCCTTTCTGATCAGCTTGTTAATCAACAGGATACATTTTACTGAGTATTAAGAAAATATATATACTCTGGCTGAGCCAGTTGGCAGCAAGAGACCTAATTTTTCATATATTTTCCCTTCCCTATTTTTTTTTTTTTTTTTTTTTTTTTTTTTACCCTGACCCTCTTAACTAGAGCCTAAAGGACACAGAGGTACAGAGGAGCAGCTAATACCACAGGGTAAGTCAAAGTTTCTATTTACTCTTTCAAAGCACAAAATGTAGCTCTGCACACTCCTGTATACGATATGTCCCAAAAATCAGGAGGGTCCTGTGGCCAGGAGTCCTCAGTGATTTGGAGCCTCACAGATACAGAGAGGCTGGGTTTCTTCTTTAAGTTTTATCTGATGGTGGACCTTTCTGGTTAGAGAGGCAAAATGCCACCTGTACCATCTTTGAGACATTCAGTTCCCCTGGCACACAAAGGACAGAAAGCACTGCCCCATGGAGAGGCAGCTCACGGGAGGACATGTGGCTAGAGTGAGCAGGACATGTGCTGAGTGGTGGGAGAAAACACCATTATTATTTTACTGGTATTGCCTGCCAGGGGCACTGAGAGCTGCTGGTGATGTTCTGGGCATCGTTTTGCTAAGCCCCATACAAACAGAGAGTACCACCCTGCTCCTGTAACAGAAAAAACCTTGGGGAAGGAAAGGGAACAGATGGTGTGTTGCAGGTTAATGGCCAGGAAGAAAATCCAGGTCTTTGCACATATGATTTGGTCTCCAGCAGCAGAATACTCACCCTTTACCTTTCTTAATGTTTAATTTTTTTCCCCATGGCTTTTTCTTTCATATTTTTGGAGGATAAATACTCACCATGGGCTTCAGACCTCTGAAAGCAACGCCACTGTAGCATACGTGATTTATGCCAGCTGAAGATTTGGCCTATTCATTTCCCTCCCCCCTTCCCCCTGAATCCTTCCCTCTTTCTTCTCCCTTTTGCACTTGTCTCTTTTATGCTGGTAACACCATTTGTCACCGGTATGAGCACTTGCCTCACACATTACTCAGTGCTGCTTCTCCTAGTCTTTCTTTTAGCGCTTTCCACCTTCAGGGAAGTAAGTGCCAGTTTCTTTAAAGCTCTGCTGCAGCAGTGTGATTGAGGATGCTAGCAGCGAATGATTGCTCTTGGTCTGCAGAGGTTCACAGGATTGAGTTATAAAGGTTGAACTGAAGTATTGAGGCTGATTTATACAAGCGAGGAAATGTTTTGACCCACGCTCAGCAGCACAGTGTGTTGTGCTTGCAAAACAGTGTTTCCTCTGTGCTGGAAAGAATTTGCTGCAATAAAGTTACAGGGGTGCTGGGGGGCTTTGTAGAGGGGAGAAGATATTTGCAATGCTGTGAAGAAATGCTCTTGCTGTCTTAAATGGGCTCCTGACTGGGCAAGCCTGAGCTTGCCAAGTACAGCATCCACTGTCAGGTGAGATCCACTAAAGGAGCTCCCCTATTCACAGAAAAGTCTGCAGTTTTTGTCCTGTGGGTTACCAAATTGATCGGAATTAAAACCTCACCTTAATTCCTTGTTCAATACTCAAGCTAAATCAGATCTTTATTGGTGACTGAATAGAACAAACGTACAGGCACAGACTCCCACACAAAGCACTCTGCCCAGTTTCACCATGGATTGGAGATGGATAGATTTCATTTTTGTAAGAAAAAATAATTTGGACGTCTCTCCAGAATGGCAAAAGAAGAGAGGAAGGGGAATCTTTCAAGGGGGTCTAATATTGAGAGATTATTGCTTTGTTCTGAGAAATGCAGAGAGTTCAGATGAATGTCTGAGGGGGGCAAGGTTTTGTGCCCCAGGTGGGCTGTCCCACACCTGGAGGGGGAACGGGATCCAAATGTGGGAGCTGCAAATCGTGCAAGCCTTGGTTTTTATTATGTAGCCCTGTTCCCTTTGGTACCAGCTGTGAAGGTGTCAGTTGGCCAGCCTGTCTCCCGTTTTCCTTCTCTCCCTCTATTCATATCCATTCTCCCCCACCCCCTACGTGCAGCAGGTTCTCCTGGCATTGCTCTTGGAGAGTTCAGTACCTCTTCTGATACCAGGGAAGAGGAAGGATGCTGCTTAAGAGTTTCTCTCAATTTAAGTTGTGCTCTGCTGGGTGATGGTCATACGTAATATACAGACTAAAACTTAACACCTGAGTGCACTGAACTTTGGACTCAGATCCTGCTCTGGCTTTGTATCTGCCACTGCTTTCAAATACTCAAAGCCCTTTGGTAGCCCAGAAACCAGGAACCTCTGACTCTTGGCTCTGGCAATTAATGACTTTATTGTAACCATTAACTACTTAATCTGAGACAGACTAACTCTCCCACCTCTCTCGGGTATTAAAGGCTTCACTAATGTTTGCACAGTATTTAAGTGTACCTTTCCAAAGCAGCTACTACTTTTGTGAGCCAAAGATGCGCAGTGTTTTTCTGAAAAACACTGTAAAATTGCCAAGTGTTGTTATTATTTTGATAGTCTAAAGGAAACAGCATTAGGATTTTATTTAGTGTCATCAGAAATAGTCACTTTGAGATTACAAACGCTGCCTGCACCTTTCCTAGGCTTACTGGGGGTCTGAGTTGGACTTGCCAAGAAGCATATCACTGGGCTGTAGTCATTGTGCTACTGGTATTTCCAGAGGGGTTTGCTCAGCACCCTGTTCACTGATATAAATTAGCAACATCTAGTTACTTCAAAAGTGTGGGTGCAATTTGAGTTTGGGATGAAGAATGCTTGTGCACAGCATGGTATGCTTGTTAGATGAATGAAAACATGAGAAAACAGGGAAACATCTTTGATGAAACACCTTTGATGCACAATCTCTGGGTAGTATGCATATATCAGCCAGAGCAAGTGGGAGACTGGGTTTGCTTTGCTTTTGCAAATATTTTTTTGTGTATTTTGATACGCTGGAACTGCCACGGAGCTGACACGTGTCTGGATGAAGGTAGCAAAGGAGTGCTTGGGGGACCAGCTGGACCCTGCCCAGAGCTGACCAGACCTTGGGAAGGGGACGGTGTGGGCTCAGTTTAGCTTTGACCAGCACGTCCCGTGTGGAGCTACACATCCTGCTGACTTCTTGGGGTGGGCCTGGTGCGTGTGGACATGCGTGTTTCTTTAAAGATTGGAGGAAGAAGAGGAGAAGCAAGGTCCAGTCTGGCTCTTTTGCCCTACATACCAGCCAGCATTTGCCACCAGTGCCGCCCTGTCAGTGCCAAGCTGCAATGCTCCCTCTTGCATCTTTAAGTCCCTCTCCTCTGGTTTCTACGTTGCTAAAAACCTTCTGATCTCAGCAGTGTCCTAGCCTCCAACTAATTACCTTTCTGAATGTTTTCAGGGCTGCCAGGACAGGTTGGTCCTCCAGGCCCAGTTGGACCAACTGGTCTTCCAGGCCCACCAGGACCTAAAGGAGAGAAGGGACAACCTGGTGAGAGGGGCCCGGCGGGGCCACCAGGTAAGTCCTGAAGGAAAGCAGTGCTACCACAATAGATATTTCACTTTATACAAATTACCTGTGACAACAGATTATAAAAGGCTGGACACACCAGATGTTGAGCATCTTCAGTTGGTACTGAATCCATTCCAGCAAGTCCTCTGCGCACTGAAACCAGCAGCAGCTCTCAGAGAGGGCAACTGCCTGCATGAGCTGTGACAGACCCTGGGATTTCCCATGGAGCTGGAGAGCGTTTGTCCTGGAAAGCTGCAGAGCAGGATCATGTTTCCCCATCCTGCTCAGGAGCTGTAAAAACCAGTCTCTGATCTGTCAGCCTTTGGATGAGAGCATTGCCTGTTTAACCCTCTCGCTGTGTGCCTGTTTTAACTCCCTTTTTTCTCCACCATTTGTGTCAAGCCGTCAGATGCCAGGATGTCAAACTAACGATGCTTTTGTATGTTAAGGGAAAAGGTTATGAGGCCGTTCTTTCAGAGTATACTCTGTTCCTGAGCTAGGAGACTTTCTTCATCCCCAAAATGTCCCTAAATCTTTGGATGAAAGCGTATACAACGTAATAGGTGCCAGACCTCAGGCTCTGTGCTTTGTATGCATCTAAAAGGCTGTGCCTTGTAAATCAGAGCTCAGGAAAGATTAGAAACTTGGAGCATACCTTAAATGTGAGAGTGGCCCCGAATTCTTTTTGGCATTTTCTGGCATCCTGTCAATGGCCGTGGCTAATGTCTGGCCAAGGATGTGTCTGACTCTTGGTTTCTCAGTTTGCAATGAGAGCCTTTCAGCCCCATAAGAAGTGGAATTGGTCTGCTGCTGGACTGACGGGGTGTCTGTTGTTCTTTCTGTGCTTTCCTGTCAATAAGGTGATATACAGGTGTACGTGGAGGGGAAGAGAAAGAGCAGCGCTTGATTTCATGTCATGCTGCCTTTAGTTTCTTGCTCAGCCTCAGATTTTACTCATCTAGGAATTAAGCTTCACAATACCTTTGAGCCAAGTAAGGCTATCTGCTTTATAGAGGAAGATGCTAAAGGCACATAATAGAAATCTGGGAAGCTGTTCCTATGTCCCCCTAAGACCCTGATTCCCATAGTTACAGTTCAGGACAGAAATCCTTTGTCTTCTTACTGCCTTTTTACATGGTGGCATCATTACCACATCTTCGAATGCACTAACACATCCTCTACTGCCTCTGCAACAGGGCTGTTGGGACCTCAAGGACCGAGAGGACTTCCAGGAGAAACCGGGATCCCAGGTCCCCCAGGTCCTCCAGGGCCACCAGCCACCCCAAGCCTCCCTCTTACCTTCCAACAAGGGGTCCTCTACTCACTCCAGCCCACAGCTGAAAAAGAAAGTAAGTTTCCTCCTTGGTTTCCATTTTTTTCTGGTACTTCAGCAAAGTGGGCAGGCACGGAGCAGCTCAACTCTTCCTCCCACCTCCCTGCCAGGCTCTGCCAGGGCTCTGCCTTCCCTGGGAGCAGCTGGACAACCTGCCTCCATTGTGTGGGTCTCTTGGAAGTTCCTGTTCAAGATGAAACTTGTACACTGACTTACAAGCTAGAGGGGTTCCCCTCTCCAAAATGAGGAAGTCACTGGTCTTCCAAAACCATCAATGAGAACATGGTTTGGGGGATTTATGGTTGTTCGTTGTGCTTGGTTTTCTGGGTTCACCATAGCTTTGAGGAGGCGATTTGGTGTCCTTTAAGTTTCCATCATGAGTAGCTGCTGAAATGGCAGAGCTCAGGTAGCATCACGAGAGACAAGTAGGTAAAGAAATACAGCAGTCTGGCTGGCTAGGTGCTGGTGCAATGAAACTGTGCTGTTGAGAGACCTCTTGGTGCCGCTGTTGCAGTGATACGGTGCTCAGGGTTTCTCAGAAATGAGTAAGTACCAAAGGTTTGCAAATCTGAAATTACATAACGTAACGAGGACATCTGTTAAATGTGTGTCTTTTCCTGCCCCCGCAGATGCGTCTTCCACCTGCATTTGTGATGCATCAACATTATCCCACATCCACGCAAAACACAGAATTACAGTGTCGAAAACCCAGACCAAGACTGATTTATGCCTTCCCTGTAACTGGAGGGTCAGGGCTTCTTTGAACCTATGGTGATTTAAAAATACATTTATTTGATTTGTGCTTTACATGGCAAGAAAAGGCTTTCTAGGAAAAGCACATCATGCACTCTTACCTGAGTGCTCTCCCATTTGGGCTTGATTTTTCTGGTCCAGTCTTGTGTAGCTGGCATCTGATAATGATAAAGCAGAGCTCAGCTGTAACTCCGCTTGGCTTGTAAACTCCTGGAGCCTGGCTCTGCCAGGTCTCCCATCTCCGCTCCCCCAAACTTCAACTGTGCCTCTTCCCCAGCTCTTCTGTTCACGTCCAACCTCAAAGCTTAGTTCTATTAGTTACAGCCAAGTAAGTCTCCCTGTGTCTGAAAGTTTTCTTAGAGCTCTCCTTTCCCTTCCACCCACTCCACTCTCCACACTCCTTTTCCTGAAAGTGAACAGATGTATTTTTAATTTGGGAAGAATTTTAACACCTCAATTTCATATTCAGTTACTTAGACTGTATGGGCAGGTTGAAATTAATTGTGGTTCAATACTAAGGTTTTCACAAAATATAGATTGAGCTGCTGCATTCATGAGCCTTATAACGAGAAATTTCTGCATTACAGTCATCTCACTGCCTTACAGGATTGCACTAAACAGTGTCGTTCTACATTCAGCCTTTTACTTCAAAGAATCCTTAAGGATGGTTTGGGTACTGCTGCTGCCCCCTCCCTCCAACCACCCTTTAAATTAAACTCTTTCTTGCAACGTAGTGGATAAATTTAAGTGTATAAAGTCATGGATTACATGGCCTTCCCAGCTGATGTGTGAGAAGAGTAAACTCTGTATTGACCCAAAATAGGAAGCAGATAAATGAGTGGATAAATATCGGCATTAATTCTGCCAGTGGGCAGCAACAGGCTCCCACATGGACTTGGGGACCATGAGTAAATGGTGCTCATTTGGGGCAGCCCTGTATTTCTCTCCCATTTCTGCAGTGGATTTCTTGGTTGCAGAAGGAGTAGCCCAAAACTTTATGACAAGTTTTCTCATTTAAAAAATTTTTCTTAATACAGGTCTCACTGCAAGTATGAGTTATCTCTGTGGTCATGATAAAGTTATGGCGATATCAAGACCATTTTCTTAAAAAACTTACCATCTTGCTTGTGTGTTGGCTGATTTTGCCTACCACAGGTTGGTAGAAAGCTGATCCTCTACAACCAATAAAACCTAGCCTTGTAAAGTCTGGGTAGAGGGGTTTTTTTTTAATTTATTTTGAGTGGAGCACATCTGAAAACTATAAACACAAGATTTCAGCTGCTGACAGCAGAGGGAAGCATATTCCTGGTAATGGGCATGTGAGAAAACTGTATCAGATTATTAGCAGTAGTACAGTGTTTGGTTCTGCCTGAACATGGTTAATGCATATGCCTTTATTAGTCGCAACAAGTTCCTGTTGGCAATGTTTATCAGCAGGCAGAAGCCAAAAATGGGGAGACAAATATTTTCTCACACTTTCACTGTGCTGTGGTAAAGAAATTGGTCCCAGTTGTCTCCCTCCAGATCAGGTAGCAGAAAGAAATTAAGACAGGATTACTTCATTTCCATCCTGTCTCAACAAATCAAGCCTATAATGGGGGAATTTATCCCTTAGAAACATTAGGTCTAGGGCAGAAGCTAAACTGCCATCCTGCACTGCTGAGGCTGCTGCTACAAGGATCACTTGCTTTCTCTGCCACTTAAAAATGAGTGGATAGGGTATGTGGTCTAGAGTCAGCTCAGTCCTCTTTCTCATTCTAAAGCTAAAACAATTTTTAGGGAAAAGAGAAAAGACTGCAGCTTTTACTCTGTTGAGGGCTATGTTTTCTTACATCTCTAAGATTTCAGTTATGCAAAGGACACATGAGATAACATTAACCTATTTTGTAGGGAAAGCGAGGCACAGGCAGCTTGCCTGTGTGCCCAGCATATCAGTGGTGAAAAAGAGCATAGAACAGTGATTTGTGAAGTGACATCCCAGTGCCTGCTGCCATGCGTAGCCCTTCCTGGGGAAGGGAGCATGGAGCAGAGGAAGTGAAGGGGAAGGAGAAGAGGAAGAGAATGGCATTTGATTTAGAAAACCACACAGATTGCTTTTAAAGCTCTTTACACCTGTGCCTCTGAGATGCCTTGCCACTCTGGCTGGGCAAGTTTCACTGCCTCGTTCGGGGTATTTCTGTGCTGTTCCAGGTTTCCCCTTTGCAGGATGTTTGTGCCCTCTTCCAGAGAATGTAGGTGCTCATCTCTGCCTGGGTCAGACTGGTTGCACTCTTCCTCCTGGCTTGGCTAGGAGTTGGAAAGCTCCTGGAGTAAATCGTGTCTCCAGGTCTTCTCAAAGGAGGCAGGCAGTTGTCTGTCTTCTGCTTCGGTATATCCAGAGGCACCGAAACAGAATCCAGCCCTTGAGCTCAGCAGAGCCTGGGTCAGCACAGGAGATGGCTGAGAAGGGAAGATTCCTGCTACCATTTCTTGCTGGAGCTATTCTGCAGCTGCTATAATAACCTCCAGCCGCAGTGAGCCCCAGAATGTCCCCCTGTTTATAAGGAGGAGGGATTTTATAAGGAGATAGAAGTTCTTCCTGCTGCTTTACGGGAATATGGAGAGAGTCCCCTAAAAAATGTGAGGGTTACGTTTTAACACACTTCAATCCCATTTCATTCACAGTATGTTTCATTCAGAGCTCATCCTGGAAGGAAGCCTTGATCTGAGTGAGCTTTGCCTGGCCAGGCAGCTGAGGAAGGAGCCAGTCTAAAGTTCCTGCATGTCCATACTCCTATTGCTACAAGGGCCAAATCAGGAGCTATTGAGCTCAAGGGCTGTTGAGCAGAGCTCTCTTCTGTGTCACAATTACGGGATCGCCCTTCATAAATAACCTTTAGTCAAATGTCAGGATTGGTGGATTTGTGGGAGTAACTCTGTCATCATAATAATATCCCCTTTAGGTGGAGTGTTTTGTAACCCAAATCTTTATCCCTGGTTTACCTCCAGCAAATCCTGGTTGTTTGCAGCCCATCCTCTCCCCCCTCTCAGTGGATGTGCATTTGATTTTGTTGACCACATGTTCCTTAAAAACAAAAGGTTCTGCAATTGCTAATGCCTTCACTGCTGTTCGATGCTCATTTCCCAACTTCATTTTACTCTCAAGCTGTGATGGATTTTGACATGGTCAAATAAAACTCAAATTAATTGGATTACACACTTCACTTGGGTACCTTTCCTTCTGAACATGAAAACAGTCTCAGTTGTTTTGTTTAAGAGCTGTGAAGAAGGGAAGATGGATGGGGTTAGAAACAATAGTCATAGAAATACCTGTTTGCATTCAGGCTTTAGGCACAAAATTTGGCTCTCGGGGGAATCTGGGTTAGATCTTGTGCTGTTCTGCTGCCAGGAAGGCATTGCAGAGATGTACTGTCATCCTTGGCAGTTAAAGAGATTTCACAGTTTTCCCTAGGAACTGCTTTCAAGCAACTAGCTTGAAAGTCCTCTCTATCTATGCCAATGCTCCAGAGGTTAAAAAGGCTTCATAATGTATTTTCACCTTACGTCCTTTAGGCTGGACTCTGCAGAGTAAACAAACATCCTTCTGATCTTCCTGGTGTGACTTGGTGTTTGCATCAATATAGTAATGAGACATTTGCAGTTTTTTACACCTGCAGAAGATTCCCTTGAATTTTACTGTGACGAGTTAAAGGGATGGGTAAAAGGAAACATGAAGAAGTTTGAGGTCACGGGCAGGAGGAGATGGACATTATACGTGCGTGGTGGTGTCCAGCTATGCAAAAAGTGGACTCTTCAGAGGGTTTATTATCCCAATGACCAGTAGCCAACATGAAATACACAGTTGATCCTATAGCACTGGTCAGGATAACGTATTGCAAATCTTAGCATCAGGACATGGGGGTTCCCTTTCTTGCTTTGTGACCTTGGTGTCTTGGTCAGTCATGGAGTTTTTTCCCCTAGGTTTCCACAACTGTCAAACAGCATTGTGGAATGCTCAGATGAAAGATTCCTGCCATACAGGTACCTCCTCAGACTACTAGGACACTACAGTGCAGGTCCATAGGGAATGGGGTTGTTGAATATGATTTTGGAATTGCATAAAGTAGTCAGGGTTGCTTCTTTATATGTAATTCTGTTTTTTCTATTCAGTCACCAGCTGAAGCAGTAAGCCTATCAGTTCAAGTATGAGGGAGGATGGGGGCAGCTACAGGCTGCTGATTCTTATTCCTAACAGAAGAGGACTGAGAAAGATGTTCAAAAGCACAAAATTCCTCCATTCCTGCTAATGCCTTTCCCCTCCCTGCTGCACTCCCATTTCCTTCTGTTTCCCAGAACTCAGTGAACCTGCCCAAGCTGGCCAGTTGAACACCTAAAATAATCCTAAATGGCCAGTGAGTTTCCTGAGTACGTGGAGGAAGCAGAGAACAGCCTCTCCCCAGACTTTTCTGCATCCTCAGACTTCAGGATATCTCCCACCACCACCTCGATGGCAGGGTGGGCTTGCTGGGTTAGTGAGGATTTCCAAGACTGCCGGACTGGCTCGGCGGTTCACTGATGCCAGGCAGGAGGGACCTCCAGCTCCATGTTTGATTTCTCAGGTAGCCAGAAGCATCTTGGAGTTGGCAAATTTGGGGTCAGTTATTGCTGTACAGCGCAGAGCTACTCTTAATCTGCTGTAGTCTTCAAAGGTAGGATTATATAGGTGTGCAGAAACACCAATTTTTTGTCAGAGAGGACAACTTCTCTGGGGTTATCAGAGGTGGGATGAGCAGCTCTGCAGGTCTGGGGGATGCAGCCTGTGTCCTTAGAGAGCAAAGGGCAGTTGCTCAGAAAGTCCAAATTTTGCATCCTGAAGCAGTGCCTGGCCTTGGCCAGCAACAGGCGCCAAAGGATTTTGGAGAGAAGTTCTGCTGGGACTGAGCAGCTCTTGCTGCAGGGACACTAACCGCTCTGCTCTTGAACGCAGATGGAGAACCCCAGCTGGCCTCCACCGTCATAGACACCATCATGGCTGGCCTGCCAGGACCACGGGGAGCCCCGGGCCCCATTGGGCCACCAGGTAATTAACTCGGTTGAGCTGCAAACCCGTAATGATGGGGAAGATGAGCAAAAGAAACTTCTGATGGAGACTGGAGCGGTCTGTGGGTTGCCTGCAGGGAAGGCAAGTGGTCTTCATTGGAAGGGCAGTAGGGCAGTGGGAAGGGTGGCAAGAAGTAACCAGGTTTTTTATCTGATGATAGTGGCAGATTGTTTTACCTTTGGCAGGGTACATCTTGAGAAGGGAATAATTAAAGACTGTCTTTAAGAATGGGTTGTCCAGTGAATCCCTTTATGAGAGCAGGGTTGTTCCCACCACTGCTCCAATCCTGTCCTGTCACTTTAGAGCTCCACTGAGCAGAATCTGACCGGCTGCTCTGTGATGTGTTTGCAGACTTTGGAGCTGGTTTGAGCTAGTCACCAGTATAACTGAAATCAGAATCTGGGATGAAATTTCAGTGGCAAATCTTCTTTTTCTCTGTGCTGAGGGGTGGCTTAAATGATAGTATTCCTGCAAACATCACCACTTCCCAGTATGATGCATATTTAGGAGTGAACTTCCATTAGTTGCAGAAAAGGCTTTTCCTCTCATTATGAGGGCCTTTAATTTATCCTTCAGTTCCTTTATTCTTAAGGATTTGTATGGTGCGTTAATGATTGAGGCTGATTCAGCTGTACTTTCTGTATAATGTCCACATTGTTTCATCTTGAGGGTTGTGACTACTAAAGCAGAGAGGAGTGTTGCTAAATTCAGACTAAGCAAATATCCTGTCTCCCATATGCAGGTATAATTTAACAGCTACTGTTTAGATATAATTATTTTTCCAGAAGGAATTAATCTGTTAAGTGACTGTGTAAAAAAAAGTTGACCTGTTTAGACAGTGTTTAACTTGTCCTGGAAGCAGGCTCTTCTGTGGTACAGACTTTAAAATAATTTACTGCCATTGGAGTGAGCAAAGAACAAGACAGTGCTTTGCTTTGCCCCACTCAGCCTCTCATGCTATGTCCAAACCCTGTTTCCTTCATGTTCATCATCAATTTTCTGAGAACACTAGAGAGACAGACTGTAGCAGCCTTGCAGAATTCCCTTGCCACCAACGAGACTCTGTTTCAGAAGCAGCAACTGTAGTATCTTGCTCTGATGTAGCTGTTTCATGGATCTAGTTTAAGTTTTCTCAAAAGTTGTCATTTTAAACAGTGGATATGCAGCATGTTACTGACATCCTTCCTGCTTATTTTCACTTTTTTTTTTCCTCCCAGAGCTCTAACATCTTCCCTAGGGCACAGGGATATATTATATCAGGATGTGGGTATCCAATAATCCAGTGTGTGATGAAGCGCTTATGCTGTAGTCCTGTGATGGATGAACAGCTCTCACCCATTGAGAGACTAAGCAGAGGAATGAAAGGAAGTGCATGCATTTGGAATTTAGGGTTATTCCTTCTAAATCTCATTAAAATTGTCCCAAATGATGATTCCCACCAGGGCCACCAGGTGCATCAGGACCCAAAGGGCCACCAGGACCCATCGGAGTCCCTGGATCACAAGTAAGTCTGCGAAACATCTTCACATTGTACAAGGAGGGAGAGTAGTTTATAAGTTTCAGATCTGATGTTTTGTTCACCATGAAATTCTGTTATTTTAATACTTTTTTTTTTCATTCTGAATTATATTGAGAGGTTGAAATGGTTGTGCTTTTCAGATTTTTCCCTTAATCATAGCAACACATCTTGCTGTTGCTGTGTCAAAACACTTCACTGTGGCCTGAGTTGATGCAAAGGATTTGACATGGGCTTTACTAACACAGTGATAGAAAAATACTGCATTTCCTGTGGAACACATAAAAAGAACAAAAAAAAACCATCAATGGGAATTCACCAATTCACCAAAGTGTATTTGTTAAGCTTAGCTTTTGAGAAATAGCACTTTCTATTCGAGAAAAATACCTCAGATTCCCATCATTTTGATTATTTATTGATACAAAAATTGTGGAAGGGGCTAGGTAATAATGCAGTGTGATCAACTCACTCAAAAGAATCTGTAATAGGAAAAGGGCTAAGTACTCACATGGATGGAAAAAGCCGGTTAAATGGAAAGAAGTGAAGTCATGATGAACAGTGAACTGCCAAACTACCCAAAATTGTGGTTGGCTGATAGAAAGGGACTGCAGTTTTGGGAAGAGTGTTGCTTAATGTGGAGGTAAACTACTAACATCAAATATTTCAAAGGAATCTAACATGACTAAAGAGATAAAAATGACTGAAGAACAGAGAGAGAGAGAGAAACATTAAGTAACTTAGCAGAGGGATGTAATTTATATCCTGATAAGAAGAGGTTTGGAATTGCTAGAAATTAGAGAAAGGAGGTTTTTACTATGTATTTATTAATCAGTTTGAAGAAGCAATAGACAGCAGGTTAATGAAAGTTTGCCAGGGTAGCAGAATCATTTCAATTAGTGAATGCTCTGGAGAACAATGAGAAATTCCAGATAGATATGAACACAGTGGGAAATTTGGCAGCAAAATGACAGATGCAGTTTAACGTGATTAAATATAAGGTAATTCACAGTTCATAAATAGGTTCTGTAGCAGAGTCTGGCTTTTTCACATGCAGCACACATTATAATTTTTTTTTTTTTATAACAGATTTGTGGAATTCAATGTTCTTGAGTGTCTCCATGTAATCATGCACTGAAAGTCACTGTTGAGAGCTGTCAAGAGCAAAAGATGCTTATGGACACTTAAAGCTTTGTTCATGCTGCATGTTTGACATGGGGCCAAGTCTGGTGGGTGCCCTGCCTCGTTTGGCAGCTGTAGTTAGCCTCCTAAACCTGGCCTGAGTTTCTGAATCTTTTGTGGGGCCAGGGGAGATGTAGCTAAGCTGGAGGCTTGGTGGCGAGCTGGTGGGGCTGCCTGCAGGCAAGGAGCAACATGCTAATGGTGAGCATTGCTGCCTCCCAGCTGAAATTAGGAGAATGCTCCTCCTTTAGACCCTTAAAACACCACTGCCCAATCTTGTTGGGCCGCTTGACCAGATGCTGAGGCTCCTCGCAGCAATGCCTTGAAAGCACATTTCTCTGGATGCTGAGAGGTGGGGGTCTCTGGGGGCTGTTGTTAAGCAGGTTGGCTTAAATCACCAGCAGTCTGGAGTGGAGCAGTAGTCTCATTTGCTGCTGTCTCCAAGGCGATGTGCAAGTCACCTGAGGTGGAAAAAAGCATCTTGCATATGGTCGTGGGGAGCTGACATGATGCATATAAATGAACAATATTGTCCTCTCCCTGTCTGGTTTATAGCTGTGGCTTCACTGGGTGGATAAGTTAAGAATTTGGATCGATTTCTGCAAAGCAGTTCCATTAGTAGAAGTCTGGAGACTATGCCCTTCTTATCCATTGGTGACTGTTTTATAGATTTATTCAACCCAGGGAGTAAAATTATTAGTAGAGATTGGGTTTAATTTGAAAATTGTTTATTAGGGTGAGTGAATGGCTTCAAAATAATTTCCACTGCACAATCCAATTAATTTTCAGGCATGTATGCTTACTTATGCCACCCACTGAGGCAATTATGAAGAGAGGGAAAGTAGTGGGGATTTTTAAGCTAACCATACTGTGTATTAATTTCTTCTTGGTAACGGAGAACAAGAACTATCCTGTCATACCAACCCCTTAAAAAATGTTACATCAGTCGCCTACAGTGCATTAAAAGAGCCAAATAGAGGGATATGCAGAAACTATAGGTCTCAGGATATCTGCAGACAGAGCTTCCATTGTTGTTGCTTGAGGGTAAAAGAGAATCCAGCCCAATTGCTTAATGGGCGTATGAGGTTTTCAGGATCTGAGGATCACTGGGAAATGTATTCACTACACCTACACAAAGGATGCACGGTAGAAATTAATTCCTTCTTGTTCTGCATCTCTTCTAGGGCTTACCAGGCTCTCCAGGACAACCCGGGCCAAAAGGCTCCAAAGGAGACCGAGGAGAGAGAGTAAGGTTTTACACACACACAGAGATTCCCAGCAACATCTGGGGTGATGCCTCAGAAATTCTATACAGAATAGGTCTTTCAAATTCTGTGGGACTACAGCCATGAATGATTTTAAATGTAGAGTTTCTAGGTCTTCTGCAAGAACCAAGATGATGGCTTACTGTACAGATAAAGGGTTGAATTGCTTGCAAACTCTGGTGTTCCCTAAAGAGATTCAGGTAGAAATAGCAAATACATCGTACATAAAGGCTTGTGGAGAGCAACTTTCTTCTGCCAACCAACATGCCTTAGTGTGCAGTATTTTGGGTGGTCTAACTGAACTCTTCCTTCTGTGGCATAAGGCAGTAAAAGCTCATCAGACTTTTCCTGAACCAAAGCTATTCCCCAGGTCAAATGATGTTCTTAGTGTATTTAGAATATTGAGATGATGTTCTTCAGATGGTTATGTGCTATACCTCAGTCCTTGATGGGTTGCCAAACCTTAATAACTAAACATAGATAGAAGGGCTGTTTGAATGTTATTTCCAAACTGGTGAAGTTTAGGAAAAAACAGAGAAAAATATATGAAGGATATAAATGTGGCAGATTCCCAGTCCCGCATTCAAGCATCAGGAAGGGTTGCAAAGTGGCATTTGGGCCTTCAGCTCCTTCTGTTCAGCTTATTCTCCAAAAGGCCATGGCTTTTGAAATCTTCTCTGAGAGGAACTAGGAGCACAAAACCATTTGAGAATGTAGTACGTGGTAGAGGATCATTCAGCAATTAGACCTGCAAGCTATAGAAGTGGGCACAGACGCACTGCGCCATCACAAAGACCCTAGTGTGGAGTAGAGACAAAGGAAGAAAGATAAGGAGAAAAATATTGGTTGGTACCTCTAAAATGATGGATGTATGCAGTGGTGGCTGTATTGACACAGCTTTATGCCACAGCTGTAGGAAACAAATTCCCTTTTCTTCCAAGTGTCACTTTTACCATCACATAGATGGAGGTGAACGTGGAGGTCACCACCTGTAAATGGCTGGCTGTAGATGAAATGCTTCCCTCATATGACAGTATCTCCTCTTCTTCATTTCTGTTCATTATTCCAATCCGAAAGACAGAGGGATGTCTGAAAGAGCCAAGAAAGACAAATGCAAATTGGTGAACTTCAATTTTATGACTTCCCAAATTCATGAGAATAACCAGCAACAGACTTAAACGATGTTCCTCAGTCCAGACTGTGTGCAAGGAGAGCAAGTCTGGGTGGCTTGCTTCATTCCCTCCCGAGGCACTTCACATCAAGGAGCAGTGGATGTCTGAGGATGGAGCACATATGCTTCTAAAAAGCTCCATTTTATTTGAGTATCTTTGCACATTGTTTTGGGTGCTTGGTTCCTGTTCTTATATAAGAAATCACCATTTTAAGTGACTGTTAGTAATTTTTTAATAACAGTTTCCTTGTGCAGATCAGTCACTTTGGTCATGTTTTGGCTTTACTAATAGATTAGAGACTGATGCACTTCTGGGACTAGCATTTAAGATTCTGATAGAGAGCAAAACCTTAACTGATGAGATTTCAGCACAGGTTACCAACTACAGCTCATTGCCATTAAATGTCAATTCTCAGTTAAAAAAAAAAAAAAAAAGGCATGGTATATGGCACAGTGTCAAGTTTCCATCCAGGAAACTGATAAGAGCTTTTCCTCAATGATTCATTTAACATTTTGCTTTAGTTTGTGGTTGACCATATTGCTAAGACTACACTTATTTTGAAACAAAAGCTTTGTTGCACTGTCTCCATTCAGTACAGACAAATCCTTTAGACTTTGATTTTGTTCCCTCCTTGCTAGCTATTCAGAATTGTAACTCTCCTTCTGGGTATGGGATAAATGAGATTTTCAAATGTCAGAATGTCTTACTAAATAGAAAAAATAAATTCTATTTCCTGTCCTTCCTCTGTTAGTGTGGAAAGTGAAGCTGATAGCTTTTTCTGGCAGAATTTCTGTAGGATGTTCTGTGTGCTTTTTGTCTTTTGTGAGTGTGGATTTGAATGCTGGTTTTGACAACTGCATGCTGCAATTTTGGGTTTGGTGGATACAAATTAGGTCTAGCTTTACACAGAGCAGAGGAGCTGTGCAGCTGCAAGGAAAAGCATAGGAGGGTTTACAATATCTATTGAGATTTGAGAAAATGTTATTATACATTCTTCCTGCTGAATCTCAGAGAGAACAGACGTACACAAGACCTGAAGCAGTCTGAGCGCATTCCCTGGATGGCACATCTATACGTGTGCCACTCACGATCAGCCTCTGTTCATCTTATTCTTAAACAGTGACAGTGGGGGATACAGCACATCATCTCCAGGCAGTCTTCAGAGGTGCAGCTAGTGAGGGCCTGGGATAAAAGATATTTCTGACATCCAGCCTATATATCCTTTGATCCCCTTTAAGCTGATAACATCCTTTCTGTTCCTCCTGGACATAGAGAACACTCTGTTTATGTATTTTGAGTGCGTTGTTATGTCTCCTCTCTGTGATTTGCCTCTTGCCTGTGCTTTTTCAGAGGCCTTACTCCCTCCAGTGCAGAATCCAGGTATTTCCCTTTGAAGATGCTCAGAGCACCTGACAAACTGGGCCTTCCTCCCAGCGCTCTTCGTGTCAATACAGGCCTTTGTCTCGTGCTGGCTAGCTGCTCACCGAGCACTGCGCAGCTCTCCGTAGTGATGTTTTGTAGATGCTCAAGGCCCATTGGTTTTATACAAAGCAGCAGTTTGATGGACACAAAACCAAAGCAGATGTCCCTTTCTGGAAAATATTACACAAAGCTGCTGCCAGCTAGGTAGTTTTTTGGGGGGAAAAGGATGGGTTTGTTTCTGTGTATTTCTGGGGGAGAAGAGCCAGGTTAAATATGTGGCTGTTTCATCAAAGGATTTCTAAAGATGCTTTTAAATTTTGCCTCCCCTTCCCAAGCTCCTGCTTTCTTGTTAAATAATCTATAGCTGTTCTCCTGGTCAGGGATTCTGCCCTGCCCCAGAGTGCTCCAGGATGGGAAACCAGTGCTGCGGATAAAAACAGAGGGAAAAAAATGCTCAGTTCAGTGGCATTCTGCCCCAAACCAACACATACCATTTCAAAATGTTTCTGATTAAAAAAAAAAAAAAAAAAAAAAAAGAACAAAAAAAGCCCTGCTGAGAACAATGTGAAAATTAGCACAGCAGGAAAAAGAAACAAACCAACCAAAATATTGTACGTGTGTTTTGATCAGTAGCTGTTGGGGTTAACACATGGATGTGTGTATGGAGCAGGAGGCAGATTAAATCAGTGCTCTGTGGGAGTCCTGGGCTCTGTTTGCTGTCTGAGGCAGCATCAGCCCATCAGTTTTACTAGAGAGAAGAATGTCATATCTTGTAAGAAACAAATTTCCAGCCAAATTCCTTCCTGGTATAATGTAACTGACTGCTGTAAAGTTCAAAAAATTGCTAATCGTCTTACTGAGAGGGTACTGAGCTGAGTAGCTCTATATCGAACCAAACTTCTCCAAAGTGTGATGGGATTTGGAGCTGATACTTGACAGAAAACCATGACCCCTTTTGCTGTCTCTAAGTGATAACGTCAAGGGACTGAAATTTTTTTCATATTATCCCAAGTGTAAGGTTTTTCATTAAGCCATCTTAATTCCACTAGCAAAAATTACACTATGTTCTTGTCAAATGGAAAAATATCTCCTAATGACACTTACTTTATTTCCAACAGGGGCAAGCAGGTCTGACTGGAGAGAGGGGCATTAAGGGATTTCCTGTAAGTGATGTACTTGCGGGTGTGTGCAAGACTCAGGTGGGTTTGGTGCCTGCCTGGCACCGTAAATACCACCTAGCTGGACTGCAGCTGGTTCAACCAGCTCTCTCAGATGCAATGCTTAGGTCAACTGTCTCCAGCTTAGACATTTGTTCCATAGGCAACCTCACCTTAACATATTCCCCTGCAAATGAAAGTCTTCCTGCATGTTAAGGGTAGTGCTGAAATGCCGTGATCAGGAAGGCATCACTCCAGCAGAGGAGATGTGCTTTGCTTGCAGATCCCCTCTAGGCAAACCTTGGCTGACAGAAGCCCCCTCCCTGCCCCGTGAGGTTCCTGGCACTACCAGAGCCCAAGGGTGGGCACCGTTAAACAACTCAAAGTACATCGGCAGCTCTCAACTCCCTTTTGCACCTTGGTCTGCCAAGCTGAGCTGGAAACCCTTTAATGAGATTAAAAGATGTCTCCAAATGATTTCTTGGCAATACCTGGACAGATGCACACAGGAGATGTCTGCACTGGCACATATGGCTAGTGTGCAAACAACCAGTGGAGATGAAGGTTGGCTGAAAGTGAGCTGGTGGAGCAAGTTGGGTTTTTCTGGCTGGCAGCATCTAGAGAGGTCCTAGGTCCTCTGGAAGGTTTCTCTTCTCTCTTCCTTAATTCTACCTCATCGTTTTGTATAATTCACACAAGCTTTTCTTCAGTCCTTCCTCCCAGACCCACCCCTGCTTTGCAAGTACCTCAGGGATGTCCAATAAGTTCTGAGGAACCCAGGCATTTCCACTCTATTTTATTCACCACTTTGTTAGCCCTTTCCATTGCTTCGTGTTTAACTTGTGATTTAATCTCTCCATGTCATCTGTTCTTTCAGAAATGCATGAACTTCCTGGTTGAGGGGGAACATCAGACCAATGTTCACAGCACATAGGGATCTTTGTTCAAGAAAAGCTTAATGAGCATCTTCAGAGGCAGAGAGTGATGTGACTAATTAATGAAAGCAGAATGGAGGATTTTATGTTCTAAATCAAAGATGAACATGTGCACTTTTGAGGGAGTGGAACAGTATTTTTATCTCGGTGTGAGATAAAAGCATTGCTCATTGAGAACTTCATGAGATGTATATAGTATTGTTGTGGGCCCAGGCCACGGCAGCCAGCTTCTCCTGCAGCTTGGCCACTCCTGACCAAGTTCGTCAGTGTTAGAAATGGTGATGAGCTCCTGGGAAGCTGGTGGGAGCCAGGCCAGAGCTCATGAAAGCACTTTGGCCCTTGGCATGAAGTACCAGAGAGTCAGTTTGTTTTCTGCTGGTGAAACTCTTCTGCCTTTAATTTTTTCATTTGAAGGGGAGGGATGCAAATGATCCTGGACAGGGTCCTCAGTCACATGAAAACAAATTTCCATTTCTTGTCTGTTTTAGGGTGAACCAGGCAAGAAGGGTGAGGAAGGTGACAAAGGTGCTGATGTAAGCATGTATTTCCACTGTTGTTTTACTTTTCTTTTTGTCTCTTTACTGTGCTTCAGCCATGTGCCCTTTGGCAAGCTGCTCTGTGGAGGGCAGAGGTCCTATGCACTGTCAGAAGTGCAGAGCAAGAGATGATTTGAACCCTGGGCTTGATCTTAACACATGCTAGAAATCCTGGCCCTGGCGATTTCCTTGGCCACACTGTCAGCTGCCCTTCTCAGCGTGCTATCCAAACACCTCCTCAGTCCGCAGTGGCTGTTCAGCCACACAGAGCTGCTACATGGCGGGGAATTACTGCCCCACTGTCCCTCCCACCAGCCCAGGGACAGACCCCCAGAATAGATCAAACTGCATGTGCTGAGAGAGAGTTGGAATTCTCACATCTCTGCTCTCCCACCCTAAAATACTTCCCACCATCTATCTGTCCCTTCAAGCCCATTTCTAAGGCAACAGGGGCAACAAACTACAGCCTGAGTGTATGTGACAGTATGTGGACGGGCTCCAGGCAGCATGTGGCCCAGCTAGGAGCTCTGTGAGAGGCAGGATGAAGCCCATCAGGATGGGCTTGCACACTACCGTTCCAGTTTATAAAGAAGCAACAAGATGGTGCTAGCCACACGTCCCAGTTTCCTGGTGTACCAACAAAGAGCAAGCCCAGGTAACTCCCTGATGTTCAGAGTACATGTCAGATGGGAGCAAAACCTGTTCTCCAGGTAGTTCAACATAGTTGTTAACATAAGCTGCACATTATAAGGGTTTGACAGGAATATACACCCTGGGTTTGGCCCACTGCAGAAGGAGGAACCAAACTGAAAGGCTTGGCTTTGGGTCAGAGGCTCTGCAAACATGGGGTATAACTGAGGAGGTTTTTTTTAAATAGGTATTCCTTCTGCATTCCTACTTAACCCTTGCAGCTTAGCTCCCCTTTTGCATCTTTTCTTGTTTAAACATGCACACTGCATAGTCTGGCATTATGGGGGCAACGTTAGGAACAAGAAGCCAATTCTGCAACATATACCAATGTTAGCTTTCTTTTCCTTCTTGCAGGGAGAAGGTGTTCAACAACTTAGAGAAGCTCTGAAGATTTTAGCTGAGAGGGTATTAATTCTTGAGCACATGATAGGAATTCATGGTAAGCGTTGCTGAAGTTTTATTTTCTAGGGGCTCTCGCCAGGCAGCTGCTTGATGGTTAAACATCCTCCCAGTCTCATAAAATCTCTGTCTAGTATCTATTTAAGCTGGGTTTCCAAAACTAGGTACCCAATGTGACTTAAAGGTTACTTAGAACTGTTAAGAACCTAGATCTTTCACCAACTGCACTAGTTACTCTGGCTTTACAGGTGAAATGACCCCCATAATAATTTGTATTACAATTCAGAAAGCCAAGTCACGAGCAGCAGCTCAAGCCATGTGGCACAGATCATCCAGCAGCTTCCCAGGGACCTGCAGGTTCAGGTCTTTAGGCCAGATCATTTAATCCTGTTAACAGCGTCTTCCAAGTGACTACCACCACTGAGGCTCTTGCCTTGTGTAGCACTATATTTTACAGAGAAAGCTCAGTGCTACATGTAACCCTGAAAACCGGTGATCCCTGAATGTCTTGTGATTATAACTTATACAAAACCTATTTTCACAATCAGATTTAAAGAAAGTCTCACATGTTCTTGGTTCAGATATATTTTAAGTTTTCTGTTGAGGCTATTTGATGTCACTGGTACAGTGTGTGGCATCATCCCTTAACGAGTGTTTTCTTCCCTTTACCAGAGTATGGGCTCAGGCAGTCATCACCGATCAGGTTTCTCCCTTGGGGGTACTCGAGGATCAATTATGCCACAGCTGCCAAAAGCTGCTGTGCCAATTTCTCCCCTTTCAGAAACACAGTAGAGTCAAAATGTTGTTTGGATCTACTATCCCAGCCTGTGAGAAACAAGCCTGTTCCTTGGCACTGAGATGAGCATTTCTTAGCTAAGTCCCATAGCACTTTTCTTTCTTATTTTCTCCTTGACATATGGCACCTCATTTCTGGCCTCACTTGTAAAGCAAGCTGCTCACACCTTCCTTCAGATTGACATCCACTTTTATTATGAAGTGGCCTTTGGATATTGATTTAGCCTGTGAAAATGCTAAACAGCTAAAATGTCCAGCAGTTCCTAAGTAAGTGACTTAAAGAGCATCTATTACTGTGCAGTAAGGCAGCATGCTTCCAGAGCCCACAAGCTGCTCCTGGAGCCAGCACAGTGCTAAAATGAAAATGCTGCCCAGCACTTCAAGGCCAAAATGGTCAGTGCATGGTGCTCTGTTATCTGGCTGAGCAGGGTTGAGTCTCTGCACTGCTTTTCACTGTGCAATGGACACAGGTCTTTTAGAGGCCCAAGTTATTTCCAGAAGCAATAGGCAGCAACAGCTTAAGCTGTTCGGGAAATCATGAATCACGAATGCATGATTTAACCACAGTCACCCTGACCTTACCTCTGCATTAATCCTAGTTTGCTTCATATTTTCATTGGATTTTATACACCAAGTGCAGGAAGGGATGTTTTTATGCTTCTTTGCTTTGAGATGGTGGAGGTATACACAGCCGGTATGCTCGCTGGGGCAAGAGGGGAAGGGAACCCCGTCCACATGCACAGTGCAGTGGATTCACAGGACCCAGGGCCTGGCCCTCCATCACCTTTCACTTTGTACCTTCATTTATACCAGTATAAAACAAAATGTCAGCTCTTCGGGAAGCTTGTACAGACACTGGGGCTTGGACTGGGGGATTCACACAACTTTGCCCCTGTAGAACTGCCTAGTTTATCTATTTTATACATTCTCTGTTTGGCAATACAGCAGCAACAAGGCATGCGCTGCTGTTATTTTGAAATGGTCATTTTGGCAAACCATTTTTACTGACATAAATATAATTTCTGTTATTGCTTGGGATGGAAGGCAAGTTATTTATACCCATGTATACTTCTATACCACTGTAACTGCGTCTGCAAAAATGGATGGGTTTTAATTGTACAGTGTAGTTAAGGCCATCTTTAAACACCTATATTGTATGCCTTTATATAAATAGTTCCTTTTTTATTGAATAACATTATAGATATTATTTTTTTCCTCTGTGCTTTTGAGATAGTTCTATTCTTTAACTTAAGACGTATTTTAGGCCCTACAAAAATACTGTTTAGAAAGAGAACTTGGAAAGTAAGGTATTTTTTTCCTTGTGTAATTACGTTCATCCCTTTGTGTGTATATGGTTTAAAAAAAACAACAACAAAAAAAAAAAACAAACAAACAAAAAAACCCCAAACCAAACAGAAAAAGACATAAAATAACAAAAGAGAATATTCTTGAGCAGAGACCTCCCGGCACTGAAAGGCACCATGCAGGTTTAAATCACCCAGCACCAGCTTTCTGGTCATGTTCTCACAGTAGGTGTTATGGATTTTACCACAGGTTCCTGGGCAGCCCGGCTCAGCCCAGCTCTAAAGCCCCACGCAGCAATGCCAATAGCATGCTCTCATTTTCCCAAGAAACTTCCCAATCGGTGCGGTTTCCAAAACCACAGCCACCCAAGCAACAAGGCAAAACACACCAGCAAACAAACCTATTCTGTGCAGTGAGGGGGCAGTTTGAGATTCTCCAGCCGAGCAAACTGCCGAGAGCAGCCCAGCCGTGTTTACTCCCAGCGAACACAGCACAAATCCTCTAGCAGCCAAATGCTCACTTGAAACAGAAATGCTGCCTCGTGGGATCAAGCTAAGGCTGGGTGTCTGGCTTGTGAGGCTGGGCTCTTGGCAGGGAAGAAAGGAAATGTCCATCTCTGAAGGCAAAAGGAAGAAGAAACTAGGGCATTAAAAATGATGAGGCAGCATTGAGTTATCAGCATCTGTTGCTGACTGCTGGGAAAATAGAAGAGTAGCCACAGTCAAATGTATGTTTAGCTTTGTAGGGCAGGACGCTGTAGAAAGAGGAGAGTGCATTACCACGAGGCATGCTGGCAGAATGGACAGCTAATATTTATTCCCAGCTTTATTGCTAATTTGGCTGTAGCTTAGGGTGAATCAATCCTTTTGTTCAATCTTTTCAGTGCCTCAAAATGTCCTCCTTTACAAGGAGTGAAATGATACTTAAACCCTCGGGAGCATCACTTCCCAGCGCCCACTTGGCCTCATCCTTCAATAACAGGAATTTGTGGGCAATGCTGAGTAGCAGCTATAGCCCAAGCAAATTTATAATCAATAAAAGAACAGTGCTTTATAAATGAAATTACAAATGGGAACAGGATCTGCTGGGCCACACACAGTAAGAGTACCTACCCCAAGGAGTTTAGGCAGGGCAGAGGGAAAAGACCTAATGTAGGAGTAATGTGATGGCAGCAAACATGTAAGTGCCACGGTTGCTTGCTGGATGGGAAGACAAGAGGAGGGACGACACTTCTTCCAGAAGAGGTACCATTCAGAAGGGCCCATTTACTCTTTCCTTAGCTTCCCCTTTTAAATAGCCCTCTCCCGTGACTTTCTCTCCTTACAGACTCTTTATCTTCCATTGAGCCAGGCTCTGGACAAGATGTGATCCCGGGCTCCCCCCTGCGAACCAGCATCAAGATCAAACGTGGAGGACCCCAGCAGCCACAGGCCTACCAGATCCTCTCTTCACTGCTGGATGACAGTGAAGCCAAAAGGAGAAGCAGTCGGATGAAGTAGGAGCGTCTGTGTGTTCTCCATGCCTTTCACCAGTTAAAGATACAGTATCCCAGTGCTTAATTGCAGAGTGCAAATGAAGTGGGAAGGAGGCTGCAGTGTTGGCAATTGGGTTTCCTTACGTGGCCAATACTATGCCCTTATTGCAGGGATTGTCTTATCCATAGCTCAGAGAGGGTCTTACGAACGCTTTTCTTGATTTTGTTGTTTTGCCTTTGGAATACCAGGTGGCAGGTATCCTCAGAAGCTGTCTACAGAAATGACACCTCCTGACTGTCTCACAAGAGTTTAATCCTCCCCTTGTTTCCTCACTGCCCTTGAAAGTTACTCAGTTAAAGCACTGCTTCTAGCTGAGACGGTCAGTCCCATCTAGACTCAAAGTCAAGCCTTAGCCTTGTCCATTGATATAGATGATGGCATCTGCTTTTATCTCATGTGGTGGTGTCATGCTGACTTCCAGGAGAAAATACCACTTTCATAGGCCATTAAAGCATTTTCATCTGCAAGGATTTCTTTTAAGCAAAGAGCAAATTGGAAAATTCAAAGAACATTTAAAACTGTTACTCTGACAATTCAGGTTACGCTTTGGAAATGAGCATCAAAATCTTGTGTTTTCATGTTGCTAATTGCATGTGAGTGGCATTATTTCTATTCATGGTTGGCTAAGCAAGGACTTTTGATGCAAATATTCATGGCAACATTGACTTTTTATCTATATTCAGTGAGATTAGACTGCTTCTATGAAAATATAGAGCAGTTTGTATGAGATATGATGCAGTTGTGCAAGAATTTTCCTATATTGCATCCAGTTTGTGCATACATCCAGAAATAAATAATTTAAGTAGTAGCAATAACTATTCATATAAAAGGATATTTTTCAATAGTTTCTTAATCACACATCTATAAGGAAGAATGTTTTCACATTGTTTTGTTTTTATCTTGTGAGTAAATCCTTGCCATTTGAATCTGGAGATGGTGTAGTAGCAAACCACGACCTAGGGAATTAGAGTCTTGTCAGGAGCTTATCTTGCACTGGGAATTAAATACAAAGTCATTTTAATTTTTGCAATAAATTGTCATTTGCGGGGAAGTCCCAGCTCCAGGGTTAAGAAGTTGAACCTGCACTTCAGTGACAAATGAGTCACTACAGCTGCTGTGCAAATCAAATGGGACAAGTTGATGTCATTCATGTAGACAGTGATTTTTGTTAGAAAGGGTGAGACTAATCAACAGAACCAATAGTAATTTTTTTTTTTTTTTTAATTCCCTTCTCCCCCCTGTTCCTGAGCATTTTCAAATTCAGCCTAGGACAAAAGTGAGTAATTTGAGTTTGTGTTTGTCATTTTATGGCCTAAGTTACATAACTTGGTCACATTCTATCTGTTTCCTAGTGCAAGATACAGCTATCTGAAAAAGGTAAACTGTCCTGCTACAAAATTTCTGTCAAAAGCTGTTTCAAAGACCAGCAGTTGTGTGGTCCATGTATTCAACAACCCTTGTCACCTGAAGTGATATTCCCAAGGCAAAACCAGAACCACGTAGTACACTGGAAATGAGGCTTAAGAAGAAGGAGCTCTGCCAGCCCAACAATATCCACACATTAAATTAACTTTCCATATACATTGTAAACATGGTAGACCTAAAGAGACATCAGAACATTCAAATCTTTCCTCTGAAGAGCATTATATTTTCAGAAATGAACAGGTTACAGGCTACTTCAGGATGACTGAGTTCACTATACGTCTTCATTTGACCCTGTTCTTTAGGGATCCAACCATCCCTCTCAAAACAGGTGAAATGGTATAAGTTGATGCTGAGCAAGCACCAGAGAAACTTGCCCTCATACAGAAGCTTTTTACTGCTGTACAGCTAAATAATGAACAGCCTTGATTTAAGCTGGCTTGGAGGCCACAGTAGATGTATTTACTTGCCCTGCTTTGAATCCTCACGCCACTTGGCTAATGCCAGTGGTGGAGCTCATGTAGCAGTCAGCCCACATAGTTCATGTTGTACTTCTGTATGCTCAAGTTTTCCTTTGGACATTTCAAACAAACAAGTCCAAAGTGTTACAAACATCTGGGGAGCTGAGGCCAAGGTACAATCAGGTGTTCACTTTCCCCAAGACTCCAACAAGGGAAGTGAGCACAGAGTTTTGCCAAGAGCTGGTGCTTCAGGCTCCAGCATTACTTTGCCTGCCAGTACTCTGAATTACAGCTGGAGTGTGATATAGAAGGAAGACAAGAAAAAAACAAGTAAAACTGCCCAAGTCAAGCAGGTTACTGACTTCAAGCAGCCATCCTGTATTCATAATCCTTTTGGGAGAATGAAATAAAGTCTCCTTAAGTGTATCTTAGTTTCAAATCCAGCACCAGCTTTAAACCAAGTGCTAACTCTAATGACCGTATGTGTATAAATGACCCTGGATTAAACCAGTGTCTTAAAGAAGGCTGGCAACCAGCTCCCAGCCTAAAACGAGTCACAAAGACAGACAGCTCAACTTCCCATCGTGTGGCCAATGACTGAAGTCCCGAGCAGCAGCCCCTGGCCCTCCATTCACTACCATGAGGGCAATAGCTCTGTTGATGGGCAGCTAAGTGTGGTGCAGCCACTGATACATTCTTGGCATAATCTTTTCATTTAAGAATTAAACATGCAAAAAAAAAAAAGATGTTTCCCCACTTACAGGCTGATTACCATGTAGGAATTGAGAAGTACTTGATTACCTCTTTGTTGAATTGAGCCCATCTTGGTCCTGATCACATGGACATTACAAGACATAGCCAGTGGCTTCCAGGAGAGAACCCCTTACGCCAACCAGGAGGTGTTGGAAAATCAGGCCCCGAAGACTGAGGAGAAATCCCAGTTCAGTCTAAACATGTACACTGGGCAGGCTGGTGCTAGCTGTAGGTGCTTGCCACGTTAAGAAAGTTTCCTCATGGCAGTTTCAGGAACTAAACTAAACCAAAGCAATCTTTAAAAGGGGAAACAGCAAAATTTGGTTTCATTGGACCTGTAGCTACAGGGTTGAATTTGGGGAAGAGAGAGTACAATGAGGCCATTTTCACGTCCCTGACGTTTTGGAGCCTTCACACTGAATTGAAAGAGAGATTTTTCTCCCTCTACATTTGTCTTCCTGAATTCAAAGCTACTGCATGAGTTTGATGACTGCTCTCTTCAAGTATTGACTAGGATTTTGGATTTTCAATTACTTAAAACAAATTACTGGCACAATGAAAGGAAATTTAATGGAAGTTGTTTGCAATGAATCCTGCCAAGTCAATTGTCAGAAGACTGGTTAGGTTTGGGTTGCAACCATTTTAATTATTGAGTTTTCCAGACTTCTGTATGAGCTATGTATTTTTTTTCTCCCCACACTTCTTGCTTTATTTAGCTAAATATCTCTTTTATGCGGTACTGTATCTTTAATTTGGGTGACAGTAGGGTTATACCAAATGGACTTTCTCTCTAAGCTGGGATTTCATTCCTCTCTACTTACACAAGGGTTGGACCACACTGTTGTGCAGTCCCAGTTTAATTATGTTTTAAAGGTGAACATAGCCTCACACGCTGACATTAATGATAATCATGACTAAGCAAACCACTCCAACCACATTTTCCATCTTAGGCAGGATACTAAGGTTCATTTTAGCCAGGGCATATAATGCATCTTGCCATGTCTATGTAATTTAGAGTGGATTTATTTTGAATGTGTGCTCATTTAGAAATAGATTTTAACTGAAATGTTTAGTGCTTTATCTTACATGCATACTGTGCAATACCATAGTGTGTTCTTTTCTTTTTTTCTTTTTTCCTAAGACTTTTTTGAAATTCCTAATGTTTCTTTGAGCTCCAATGTGTTTTTGACTTGGATCGGTTCTGGTAGTAGTAACGCATTTTCCTTGCCTTGAGCTAAATAGAAGCAGCAGCAGCACATTGCACAACCAGAGATCTTTTCAATTCGTGCACCCTGATGTTCACCAGCAATCTGGTACTCTGGGGAGGCGGAGAATGCTTCTCTCCAGAGTATCTAATTTGCACTTACTGTAAAGAACTGATAGCAACCCAGGGAAATAGGAGTAAACTAAAGAGAAGAGCCCTCACCTGTTCCCACCAAACTCCACAGTAATTTTGCCATCAACTTTCAAAGGAACAGGCCATAAAATCCAGATCCAGACCTTCAGCTAGCACAGACTGGTGCTGCTTCCAGTGGAGCAGAGCAAATGGCTCACAAGTGGCTTTCTGAGAGTTTGGCTCTGGGATTGAGGTTCACTCCCAGTCTCTGCAATTAACTATATTAATGTAGGAACCTGACCACTGTGACAAAGGCTTCTAAAAGACAATCAGCTTCTGGAATTATTTCTCGATACAATTTATTGGAAATCCATTCTCCTGAACGTTTACAGCTTCTGTCTTATTCAAGATTACATTCCATTCTGGTGTTTGGTGATATAGGGGTTTAAACTACTCACAGTTTCTGTGATTGCATTGAAACCAAGCAATTCAAAGGTGCTATAATTGTTCACAAGGCACATTCCCATCCATAGAAGGGATTGTTAACTTTTTCACTAGTTATTTTACACAGTATTTTTTTATTTATATTAGTGTGTTTCATATGTGTGCAAATGGTCCTGGCTTCTCTCATTGTAATAAGCTTTACAACCATTCGGCCTTTTACGGGGCAGCCACATGCAATATCTTGCAATCGTGTAATTTCTTAACTTAGAGCAAGAATAAATCTCATCTGACACAATGAACTCATTTATGGCAGGCTCTAATGTTTGATGTAAACACAACCTGTTTGTTCCACTGCTTGCATGGTTACTTATCTGTTTTCATATTGCTATGTTATTGTTCAAAATATCTATTTCTCTTTATTTGCTATGGGTTTTGTTACTGTATATGGAATGTTTTGTATTCAGCATTTTCTTACAGAGCAGAGTGGGAACAGTATTCAAGAACCCACAAATACCAAAGACCTTTCATGTAATGCACTGAGAAATAAACATACTGTAAATGAATATGATGTCAGGTGTCCTGTACTCACAAAGTTCCAAGCAAGTTCAAGCAAACCGCATCCTGAAATCAGGGCATTTTTCTTTCCTGCCATCTCAACTTACTCTGTTTTCAGGTCTCTTAGAAAACAAGATTATGCACAAAGACCCTGCTTCTGGTTGTCTTCTGTGGGGTGGAGGGGCAAAAAGGACCTTAATTATCTAAAGCCAAATCTGACAGTTTTCTTGCTTGTGATGGGACTGACTCTTCTGCAGATAGTGGCTATGCTGCTTCAGCAAGCGCGGCTGCCATCTCAGAGGTTTGAGATCTGTCTCCAGGATGCCCTTAGTCACTACTCTGCATTCCCAGTCACACCACCCAAACGCAGGGCCATATCCCACCTTCGTGGTGAGGCATTTAATTCCCGAAGCAGCCTAGGTAAGCCTTCAAGCAATGCCAAACTTGAGCAGCTTGCTTTGCATCCCAGAGTGAGGCACTACCTGGACCTGGCAGGCTCTTCCAGCAGGAAGAGCCCTCCTATTCCTGCGGGAGTTTTACGGCAGTACAGGTGCGGGATCACAGCTTTCCCTCAGCTGAGCTGGGGCACTTGAGGCTGGGTTGGCTGCTGCAAATTGTGCGATGGGGGAACAAGCCAGAGAGAGAATTCTGCAGTCCTTAAGAGCGTAAATTAAAATCTGTTGTTATTTGCAACTTGCCTCACTTCCTCAAAAATTTCCTTACAATTCAAGAAAGTCAAGTTGGCTAATCTAAGGCAGCAAGGGCCGCCCGGCCCCCGCCCTGCAACCCCCTTGTACCTCCTGGGCATCTGCCTCCTCCAGAAGCGGCTTTGCCCACCTGCACTTTCTCTGAATTTGCCTCTGGGTTTATGGAGACTCCGAGGATCATCACCTCTTGTGACAATCCAAACTGTTAGAAGAGTAAATGATTCGGAACTTTTTTTTTTTTTTGAACCTTTCAATGATGAGAACAACTACCTATTTAGATGCAGCTACCTCTCTGTTTGCAAAGGGAGGCTTTACAATGCGTGAGCTTTGGCCGTAGGACAGGACCTGGGCTCTTTCTGTCAGAGATGTGATAGTTCTGGTTTCTGAACTTGTTTCTTACATCCTAACGAAAACAAGATATGTAAATCGCACCCAATTTTTTTCCGCCTACAGATCAGATTACACTGCAGATATGCAGATACCAATATTGTAGCAAAGGCAAAGTCTGGTAAACACTGAGAAATGTCCACAGTGTCAAGGCCTCTGCTTCATGCAGCTTTTTGCATCACTGATGAGGACATACTCAAGGTTACTTGATGCCCAACATTCCCATGCAGCACTTCTCTGGTTCTCTCAGGGTGTATTTATCTTGGTTTTTGTGTCCAAACACCTCCAACTCTGATATATTTATCCTTGCAAAAAGTCCTCTGAGGGAATGCAGTTCTGTTAATCACTACCATACAGATTGGGAGTTGCTGGATAAAAGGCTAAATTAATTTCTTGGGACATTTGTGGCTGTGCTGGTCTGCCAAACACCAAATTAGCATCAGGTCCATGTTGGTCTCTGGGCCATTATGGCCACTGATTGTAATCACAGCAAGGGGAAACGGCACTTTTCCTAGCGCTTAACACAGCACAAGAAAAATCAATGGCAGAGTTGAACAGATTAAACTTCTAGCAGGAGCTGATTAAAAGAAAAATATATATATTCACAAACAAAACACAGTTACTCTTTGAATACATTGCCTTAACTCTTCATTAACCACATGCTCGGCAGCAAGTTGCTATATAGCTCACTTTTTAAAGACAAACAGGCACTAACGCGATAGTAAGAATGGCTCTGACAGTATTGTTTTCTACTTTCACGCAGCTGGCATTGCTCTCCACATTTCAGCCTGGTGTATGTGACCAGGGAAGGGCTACCAGGAGTACTCCCACCCCCGTGCATCCTGAACCAGCATCTGTAACCCATGCTCACAGACTGGGGAAGTGGGGATGGGGAAAAGCAGGGATCCTAGTACAGGAACAAACTAATCCTGAGCTTCCCAAGCAACATGATGGCCAGAAAGGCAACTGCTATGCTGTACATATTATAAAGAAAAAGTAAGCAGGTACATTGCATTACCTATTTATCATTGCTACCTGTCTTAGGACAGTGCGTCTACAGTTCACCAAAACCAGTGACAAGTTGGTTCAGATATGGATTGGAAAATATTTGACTACTTCAGACTTAAGGAAAAAAATTGGTTGGCATCAGACTGGAAGCTGCTCAGGCCTGACTTAGTTATCTCTGAGCCTCTGTATGAGAGGCTGTGCCACAGGGCAGGTTTCCCTGTGCCCCTCCCGCCCCAGGACAGGAACAAGCACCCTTAGACAAAGCCAATTCTATTTTTTTTTTTTTTTTTTTGGTCAACATGACAAACTGGAAAGCACACATCCTTTTCAGCCTAGCAAGGAAAAAGTATATAAACCACTGTCTGACAGATGAAATAGCAGTGAAATCTTTTAACAATGATGATAATTAACCATTGTAACAATTTGACAGAGGATTTGGTGGAGCTTTTACTACTAGACATTTTTCAGATTATGAGAGGACTTTCTCCACCTAAACAAGCATGTGTGCACACATGCATGTGTATGTATGTACATATTCCAACTCAAAGAATTCGTTCAGGGGAGCCATACTAGATAATCAAACTAGTAGAGTCAGTGACCATAAAGTTGCAATGACCATTCCTGGCCCTGCCTGCACGGTGCACAGTCCAGATCTGCACCGGGCTGATGTGTTGCTACACACCATCTATACAAATTCACTAGTGCATGGGAACAAGATCTTTGTAGCTTCACACTGAAAGGTGGCTGCCCTAGGCTTATCTCTAGGACACACCATCTTTGTGCAGCACCCAGAGAGATCTAGGCTACAACAACTGACAACCCATCCCGTGGGAAAGGGCTGTCCAGGATGGAAAACTACTGGCATCAGAAGTTTGGACTGAGACTGGCCACATACCGGGGCAAGCTGGAGGTGCCCTGATGAACGTGGGCTACTGTGGCAGAGGGGAAAGGCTGAGGCAGAGAGCCCAGAGTTGGCCTGTATGTAGCATTGGTATGTCTGTGGCAGCAATCGTGTGACTGTGCCAATGAAAACCTGATTTATATATAACTGGATGGAGTTAATATTCAGCTAGTAACATTATATAGCAGTTAAACTTTAGACTTAGTTCAGAAAACATATTGGCTGGGAGATAATAGCACATGATAGGATCTTGGTAACAACCTTCTCTCTACTCCTCAACCACAAAAACATCTTCAGATATGGATGGAGGCTGGGTCTACCTGGTGACAGGAGGATGTGGTTTTATCGGGGAGAAGATCGTAGAGGTCCTGTCTCAACAGGACTACATCAAAGAAGTCAGAGTTTTTGATTCAGTAGCAAGAGAAGAAGTTGAAAAATTCACCACAGGTAAGAAAAAGGCATAATCTTCTATTTAACGGCCACAACCCTCCCTTTCAAGAGAGCTGGTATTATGTTGGAGATGCCAGTTACAGGCATGGGGTAAACAGACTGGATTAAACTCTGCTGCTCAGAGAGGTTTTTCAGCATAGGACTACATCAAAGATCCATAGTGTGTAACCCCAAGAGATATATCACTCAGAGGATCTAAGTCCCCATTCAGGGATCAGCTGTAAGGAGAAACATGCAGACCAAGTGCCTGACATGGGAACTTGGCTACCCGGTTGCTTCTGCTCAACCAGTCTGACTAACAGCAAAGGGACAAAAATCAGGCTCCTGAACTGCTCCAACCAGTTACCAATTCTGAGAAAAATAACAAAAAAAACCCTGACAATAATAGAATCAAGCTCAGCATCTGCTGCAGATATTGCAAAATAAATTACTGAAGTAATTGAGAGAAATCTATAGTAGCCTTACTGTGCTGTGCGTAAAAAAGGAAGAGGTGAGTCTTGGTAAACACTCTCAAAGATACTAAATTAATCCATTTGATCATATTCTGAGAGATGCCTTCTGATGTTTCACCAGGGTTGATTACAGAGAGATATGTTCGGGAAAAACAACCTGTTTTACTGGATTCAGGAATACCCACACAAAACAAGCCAATGCAGCTCATATGCTCTGCAGGGTTAATGGTGGGCTGGGTCCCCCTCACTCTGGCTGCCCAAACCTTCAGCCTGCTCCCAAGGAGAGAGGAAACAATGATACGGGAGATCCTGTCTGTTAGGAGATATCAATAGAAAGGAGATAAACCTAAACCAAGTTAAAAGACTCCCAGGGAAATATCACAATCAGAAACTGTCCCTAGGCAGATGAACTCACCAGACTGGTTTCCCCAGGCTTCAGGTAGCCAATTGCTATATCCATAATTGAAGAAAAAAAAACGTTTAAGCCTTAAGGAGGTGCCATAGTCCCTGCTTCAGGAGAGGTCTGTGGCCTAACTCCACAGCAAATCACAGAAATATGAGACAGAAATAGTCCTGAGGGTCCACCCCAACTGCCGTCCCTCTGCCCCAAGGCAGAATCAGGTTGGCCATGGCCTTTCTGACAGATGTTTTTCTATCCTGTCCCCAGGCCACCTCAGGCAGCCAATTTCTGCACTGTCAGGCCATTACTGTTGGTACAGTCTAATACGCAATTCAAGTCCTTGATTTCTCATCTAACCTTACAGGTAGAATAAGTTAATACTGTAATTTTAAACAACAATCATCACAATTTGAAACCCACCATCCCTTTCCACTCCATGCTGTGTTCTCCTTTAAGCTAAAACAACTCTTGTGCACTCCTATCTCTGAGCATTGGCATTGCTCTCTTCTGGAAGGGGGCACCAAGGTTAGGACGGAGAGGCCAGCTGTGGCCTTCCCAATGCTAGGCAAAGCCGCTGGATTTATTTCTTCTGTCCTGCAAACTGATCTCCTATTTTTACCTGTCAGTACAATTATGCCTTTTTCATAGTTGCAAGACCTTGCTGACAGGCAATAGCTCCTGAGCTGCTGTAGCCCAATTTAAT